AGCCCAGTCAAATGATGATGGAAATATTTTGTAACAAGATCCACCAATTAGTGAGATAGGCTTTCTTTCTCATTGATTCCACTCTAAACTTCAGATATTGGCTATATCATATTATGATTTGATAAAGTGTCCATTATTGCTTGAATTATTCAGAAAACTACCCTTGTCTTTGTTCCCCATTGAGAGCTGTTGAGAAGAAAAATGTGATTTGGGCTAGATTTTGTTATTTTTATATATTTAATAAATACTTGTTGTGAACCTAAACAGTGACTGGTAGTTATGCTGGGCACTGGAGATGAAACAGTAAATATGCCAGACTCAGGCCCGGACTTCCCAGAGCTGCAGTCAAGTGTGGAAGACAGGCATTAATCAAACTATAACGAAGTGTTTGGAGAGTTACAGTGGGACGGACGTACAGAGAACCAGGAAAACACACAGTGGGGAGAATGAATTGACTTTATGGTCAAGGAAGGTTCCCTTTGATGAGTAAGTGATGTTTACGCTGAACTCTGAGGCATTAGCTAGAAGGAATAGGGACTTGGGTTAGAGTAGGTTAGGGTAGGATGATGGTTTGCGTACCTGAGCACGCATCAGAATCACCTAGGGGGCTTGTATGAGTTAACTATGGCTGAATAACAAATTTCCCAAAAAACATAGCAGGTGAAAACAACAATTGTTTATTACAACAAACTGAGAATTTCCGGGGGTCAGGAGTCCAGAAGCTGCTTACCTGACTGGTTCTGGCTCAGGGTCTCACAGGAGATCACAACAAAGTGTCAATCAAGGTGAACTGTGCTGTGTCAAAGTTCCAGAGAGGAAGAGTCTGTGTTTAAGCTTGCTTGCTCTGGTGGGCCTCTCCACAGGGTTGCCTCATAGTAGGAGAGTGGGGAGAGAAGGGGGAGAGACGGGGAGAGAGGGAAAGAGAAAGAGGGAGGAGAAAGGGGAGAAGGAGGAGGGAGAGGAGGGGGAGAGAGACATTTTAATATTTGATTCCTTTTGACTAGAGTTATTGCCTATATTTACTTTATTTTATTTTAGTTTATTTTATTTTTTGAGTTGGAGTCTCACTCAGTAGCCCAGACTGGAGTGCAGTGGCCACTCCCGGTCACCGCAGCCTCGACCTGCTGGGCTCTGGCGATCCTTCCTCCTCAGCCTTCTGAGTAGCCGGAATTACAGGCACGCGCTACCACGCCCGGCTGATTTTTTGACTTATTGTAGAGATGAGGTCTCGCTGCCCAGGCGGGTCTCGAACCCGCGGGCTCAGGCAATCCACTCACCTCAGCCTCCCAAAGGCGCGGGATTACAGGCTGAGCCACCGAGCCCGGCTTTATTTTATATTTTTTAGTTGACAATAATTGTACATATTCGTGGGGGTACATAATGATGTTTCCTTTCCATACATATAATGTCTAGTAATTAGATCAGGGTAACTAGCATATACATTACTTCAAACATTTATCATTTCTTTGTACTGGAAATGCTCAATATCCTCCTTCTAGCAATCGGAAACTATATATCATTGTTAACTATAGACATGCCACAGTGGTATAGAACACCAGAATGTATTCCTTCTATCTAGCTGTAATTTTGTATTATTTAACAAATCTCTCCCTATCCTAATATCCTTTAAAAAAATTTTAAATTGACACATAACAATTGTGCTATTTATGGGGCACATAGTGATGTTTAAATACATGCGGTGCATAGTGGTCAAATCAGGGTAATTAGTAATAAACACTCTAAGCATTTATTATTACTAATATCCTTTTTTTTCTGTTCCAGAATCCCATCCACGATAGCACATTATATTTAGTTGTCAGTCTCCTTAGGTTCCCTCTTAGCTGTGCCAGTTTCTCAGACTTTCCTTGTTTTTAATGACCTTGACAGTTTTGAGGAGTACTGGTTAGGTATTTTGTAGGAGCCTAGTTGTTTTATAACCTAATCGCTTAATTGAGATCTCATCACTTCTGGCCACACTCTATTTGTTAGAAGCAAGTACTAAGTCTAGTCCACACTCGGGATGGGTGGGGGGGAAGAATTTGTGGCCATATCTTTAAAACCTCCATAGTTTGTTAAGACACAGATTGCTGGCCCCACCCCCAGAGTATCTTCTTCAGTAGGGCTTTGATGGGTTCCAAGAATTAGCATTTTCTAACAAGTTAGTTCCCAGGTGCTGCTGCTGCTACTGCTCTGAGGATTTCACTTCGAGAGCCACTGGGAATGGAGCCTGCACAAGATCTTGGTGTGTACGAGGGATGGAAAAAAGTTCATCGGGGGGCCACATCTCATCGATAAGGGTAACTGCACAGTGAATATTTGTATACCTAACTCTGAATTGTACCCCACAATTTTAAATAAAAAGAGAAAAAAAGTTCATCAAGATTTACTTATCAACCTGGTTTAGCTTCTGGATTTTGCCAGTTATCATAAAACTGTACAAGAGAGGTACAATAACACCTTGTGTTTATATTAGAGATTTATTTCATTTGATTGTCACAAATGCCAGAGTGAGAAATCAGGCATCTTCATCTGACATAAGAAGAACTGGGACACAGAAAGGCTAGGTGACTTGTCTAAGGTCACACAACTAGTTAATGATAGAACCGAGCTTAGGACTGGGCCTTTTGAGCCCTGGACCAGCATAGTTTCCATTTACTGGGTTCTTTCATGTCATTCCCAACTTCTAGGACTTTGTCACCTTTTGGAGAAACAGAAATAAAATTAGGCACATGAAAGTTCAAATAATCAAATCAACAGAGAAGATTTAAAGTAGCATTTTGTTCAGTGGAAAAGGAAGGAGCAAAACAAGTGATTTGCAAACTCAGAAGGATCAGCAGTGCTCTGTTCCTTAGGCTGGGAAAAACATCTTCACTAATATCTAACTTCTTCCTGCTTCCTGACTACCACAGCTGCCACCAATTACACTCTACCGCCAGATAGCACCTGAGAGTCACTTTAGGAACCACAGGCCACAGGTCTTAAAAGCTCCTGGTTAAAGAAGTTGTTAGTAAGTCTTTTTAAGGCTTTGATTTGAATGGAAGAGACATGGTAGTCTACATAATACCCCAAGATGACAAAGACGTACATGAAAATCCAGAAGTGTGGGAAGACCACTGGATGTCTTTGAGTGTGTTACTCTTCTTTAAATTCAGAGAGATGCAACTATTTTTTTTTGTTTTGAGTTGGAGTCTAATTCTGTCACCAAGACTGGAGTGAGCCACTCCTGGCCACTGCAGTCTCGACCTGCCAGGCTCCAGTGATCCTTCTGCCTCAGCCTTCCAAGTAGCTGGAACTACAGGCGCGCGTTACCACACCTGGCTAATTTTGTTTATTTATTGTAGAGATGAGGTCTCGCCAAGTTGCCTGGGCAGGTCTCGAACCCGCGGGCTCAGGCAATCCACTCACCTCGGCCTCCCAAAG